CATATTGCACTTGGAAATACTAAATCATATTTCGTAGATTTTTTCTTTCACCAGTTTGAAAAACAAGACATTTTACACTGAAAAATAATTTTCGAGTGATGTCTTACCAATACACATGAAATTTACATAGATTCCATCCACATGAATTTCCGTGGTCTGGACAAGTTACATACATGGAAGATACGACAAACATGCATTTCTGAGTTGTAAGTATGTGAATTACTTATTTTTCATCCACCAAAGCATATTTACCCTAAGAAATATTAACTCTGACTTCTTAGCTTTTTGCTAACACCAGTTTCAAAAATCAGACTTTTTTCACTGAAAAATCCTCTTGGAGCGAATTCTACCTTGTAGATATGTGATTTACATAGATTCCATCCACATGTCATTCCGTGTTCCATTCGTGCTACATGCATGATGGAGTTGACAAAAAAGCATTTCTGAGTTTTGAGCATGTGGAATACTGATCATTCATACACCAAAAAAGGCATATACACACTGAGAAATATTTACTCTAACTTCTTAGATTTTTCCTATAACCAGATTCAAAAATCACACATTTTTCACAAAAATATACTTTTGGAGAGATTTCTAACAAATAGTAATCTAGTTTACATAGATTCCAACAACATGACATGTCGTGATCCGAACATGCTTCATGCATCACGGATTCGACAAACATGCATTTGTCAGTTGTGAGCAGGTGGATTTTTGATCTTTCATCTGCCAAACAAAGCATATTTCCACTTCAAATTATTAAATCTGGTTTCATAGTTTTTTGCTTTCATCAGAATCTAAAATCAGAAATTTTTCACAGGAAAATACTCCTGGAGCGATTTCTGCCCAATAGATATGTAATTTACATAGATTCGATCAACATGACGTTCCGGGTTCCATACATGTTGTAAGCATGATGGATTCGACAAAATGCATTTCTGAGTTGTGAGCATGTGTATTACTAATCTTTCGTCAAACAAGGCATGTTTACACTTAGATATATTCACTCTGAAATCGTAGATTTTTTCCATCACCAGCTTCAAATATCTGTCATTTTTCACCAAAAAACATTCTTTGAGTGAACTCTCCCCAATACACATGTAATTTACACAATTTAGATAACCATGACATTCCGAGTTCCAAACAAATTTCATGCATCACGGATTCGACAAACATGAATTTCTGAGTTGTGTCAATGTGAATTACAGATCTTTCATCCACCAAAAAGGCATACTGCACCTAGAAATATTAAATGATATTTTGTAGAATTTTTCTATCACCAGTTTGAAAAACAAGACGTTTTACACTGAAAAATAATTTTCGAGCAATGTCTAACCAATACACATGAAATTTACATAGATTCCATCCACATGAAATTCCGTGGTCCGAGCATGTTACATAAGTGACAGATTCGACAAACATGCATTTCTGAGTTGTGAGTATGTGGATTACATATTTTTCATCCACCAAAGCATATTTACGCTAAGAAATATTAACTCTGACTTCTTAGCTTTTTCCTATCACCAGTTT